GAGATGGGCGGCATACAAGCCGAATAAATAAATAAATAAATAAATAAATAAATAAATAAATTTGGATCTGCTAGCACCATGAAAAGGCCTTTCTTCACTTTGGGATCATCAGACTAATTTTCATTAAAGGAGATTTATGAAAGAAGTTTTCATTTAAATAACAATAATATGGGAAAGCACATTTTACAAGATTCTTGAATGAATATCACACTGAAAACTAACAAAAAGAGAAGTATTCCAAACAGTAAGCTGCAAAATTACACACACTCCTTAGTTGGAACAGACACTGCTTGCAAGTTTTTCTTGCATATCCTTTCCTGAAAAACACATTTACTCCTCTTTGCCTTCTTCCTGTGAAACTTTACGCTAAAATGTATATAGCTTTTCTGCACTACCCTCTCTTTGCTTGCTCTGAAAATCCTTGGCATTTGCTAACAGTAAAATCTTCATGTGATTGCCTATAGATGACTGCTTATGGAGCTTTCCTTCACAAAGGCTCCTTCTGCAGGAACTACTTCAACATCCTGGACCTGCTGGTGGTTAGCGTTTCTCTCATCTCCTTCGGGATCCAGTGAGTAAGCTATTTTCATCCAGACTAAGGAAGAGTGATGGATCAGGGAAGGCAGACACATCGCAGTACCAGCCAGATGATGGCTCTCACTGCAAATTGCATTTATTGTCCTCCATTTTTTTCTGTATATCATCCTTTGCTCATGCTGAGCTACATTCAACCAGGAACTGTTTATTTGTAGTCAGTTTGTCGTCTTCTGCATGGTCCTTTCTCTTGGTGCAAACTTTTGCAAGAAGTTAAAGTAAGCAGATAGGTTTTTAAAGCTTGGTTTTTAATTTCTGAACCTCCCACATAATTATTTTTACATGTCTGATTTTCATTCTCACATGAAAATGGTTGGGTCTTTGCATACTTATATGAAGAATAATTAAGAAGCCACAAGCTGTTGTTTTTAGTTCAGATGTGCAGATACTGGATTTTAAATTGTTTTCTAAGCTGTCATAAGAAAAACTTATGCTTTGGAGGGAGATATACAATAGTCAAGTGGTTATGGCATTTGACATAGTCCAAGGACAAAACCATAAGCCCAGGTGCACTGAATTACATGCATTATAACATTATAGAAGAAACAAAGGAGGGAGATAATGGCAATAGAAACAAAAAAGGAAAAAGAAACAATATTGTTTGTTTCAGTATTATGTATTTGGCTTAGGTTGAAGCCAGATAAGTCAAGATAAGAATTAGGAGGCTGGACCTAAAGCATCATGGGGTTTGAGAACAGATTTGAAGGAAACAGAAGAAGATATTCTGTAGAACATTTCCAAGCACACACAGCAGCAATGCAAAAGCACTGAGTAGTTTGAAGTAGGAGATTTTTGTATGGCTGAGATTGATATAAAGCTGAGGAGAATCGTTTATAAGCAGGGCAGTATCAGGACATTGGTGTAGATAGATAAGAAATGCAAGACCAAATTATGAGATGCTTTGAAGGCTAGAACAAGGAGCTTGGTCTGAGGAGAAAGTCAGTGTAGGAATTTAAAGAGGGTATTACATGATCATAATGTTGAGAGAAATGAATTATTTGGTCAGCAGAGTGCCAGAAAGACATTAGGGAGCTTAAAAAAAGATGATGTCACAGAGAAGATTGTTTGGACTAGGGTGTTTTGCCAAGCAGGCAGAAAGGGTATGGAAGTATGGGCAAGGAAGGCAATATAAGCAGATTGTAAAACATGGCTTCCTAATTAAGAACAGGTAGTATGGTTTATAATGAAACCAAAAACTTGAGTAATGACTCATTGCTATTGTGACTCACAAAGCTAGCACAACTTTTTTTCAAATTCACACAGCCTGAAAACAGTCAGGCTGCTGTAGTGAATTGCGGAAAGATGCTGTGCTCCTGCTTGTGTGAGGTCTGAAGAGCTCAACCTTTTTCAAAGAATACACAGCCCCCAAAGTAAGCTTCTTAGCACATTAATCTAGCTCTACAGGTTGTTTTGAGTTCATTTGGAACAGGGCAGCAAGAATGGAGGTCCGTCGGTGCTGGGATTGAGAGTATTTTGTGTCTGACCGAGCCAGGTTGTAGGTTGAATATGTCTTTCAGGGAATAAATAACTGGAGAACTGACCTCCTCTGAATTAGCAATTTGGTGAAATGCTTCTGAGAGTCCTTATCTTAAAGTGCCTTGTGATGACTACTGCACAGCACCCTTTTTGTATTGCGGCTGCTGTGCATTTGGCAGCTTGACTTGTCATTCTTCCTTCATGGTCAGTATGATATTTTTTATACAGCTTAATACAGCTGTCCTTAACAGCTCCCTCCCCTCTCGAGACTTAGTGCACAATATCTAAGCTATAATATAATGTGGTAGAAAGACTCCATGTACAGAATTCAGGTATACATTTAAAATAATATACATACTTTTTTTAAAAAAAAAAAACCCTCAATGGCTAACATAGGCATGCATTGGTAAAAGGAATAAAGTCTCTGCTGCCAGGCCAATAAACTTTTTATTAATAAGGTATTACAATAAAATTATATATAAATGATGAAATTGAAAAAATTCTAGATGAGTACAAAATTTTCCTATGAAAAATTAAATATATTTTAACTAGTTTAAAGATGCCAACACATGTTGCCAGCTTTATATTACAGTTTCAAGCAACTCATTAGAAATGTTCCAGGGAAAGATGTATGAATCTTTTACAAATCTTCTTTCATATGCCTTGCAAACTTTATCTGAAAGCGTAAGAACTGGAGAACACATAGTATAATTTTGGCTTTTCATGCTCCCTCACAATGTCTGTTTCACCACATAATTTTCAGCTCATAGATAACGCCTAGAATGATAGTAAATTCTGATCTCCTAATGTTGTTCTTCTCTAGGTCTAGCGCAATCAATGTAGTGAAGATCTTACGAGTTTTGAGAGTCCTCAGACCCCTGCGGGCAATCAACAGAGCGAAGGGTCTAAAGGTAGAAAACTGTTACCAGTCCATTAAAGATTAATGGTGACTTGCTTTATGCTACTTCTCCGAATGAATCAGTCTGGGTTCTTCCTCAGTGCTAGCACAGAGTATACAGGCTTGCTTTGCTCAGAGAGGCAGGATTCCTTGTTAACGGTGGGTGATTTTTTTTTTCTTTCTTCAAGGTAATAGTGCCCACAAGTGCACCATCTTATTTAACTATTTTATTTAAGATTGCCGTTCATTTTTATGGCAAAAAGTAGGGCCAATTTGTGTGCGTCTGTGTGTGTGTGTGTGCACGTGTGTGTGAGATAATGTTGGACTGGGCAGAGCCTTGTGAATTGGCTATTTAATTATTTAACTTGCAAATGCCCAGCAATAGGATCTAGGGCAAGAATTTTCTCTGTATTACAGTGATCTATATATCCATGTGAAAGGCAATTCTGAGCAAAATATAGCGTGGGCCTGACTATGCTACATGATGGGAGAAACAGATTTTCTCTAATACTGTCCCTTTCAAAAATCATTATGGGGCCCAGTGCAGTTTATGGATGGCCATTTGTCATCTAAACAAAGGCCACATATCCATTTAAGTTATAGATTCTCTCCCCAAAAAATCACTACCTTAAGAGATATTGTTGTTTAGCCTTTTCACTGTGGATACAAATGGTAAAAAGCTGATAAAGATTTAAGAAAGGTGGGCAGCCTATCTGTTTATGAAATATTTGTGACTTAATGATGCTCTTACTCCTTTCCGTTTACAAGAGCACAGTCTATATAGCCTGTGGATTTTTCCCTTCTAAGAGGTGCTGCATAGATTTATAAGATGACTGAGTGACAAGAATACTAGTAGTTAAACTATTCAAAAGTGAATCATTCAACTCATTTTTATTTCTGATTTTTATTTGCAGCATGTGGTTCAATGCGTATTTGTAGCTATCCGAACCATAGGAAATATTGTGATTGTGACCACCTTGTTGCAGTTCATGTTTGCCTGCATTGGAGTTCAGTTGTTCAAGGTAAATGCCATGGGATCTGTTCCTGACTTTACTGATTGTTGAAAAATTGACAACCTGACAGAAATGTTTGAAAGAGTTTGGGGGAAAAGGAAAAGAAAAACTGCCTGGGGCTGTATATTTTTCTAGAATTATCATAAGAATTATCACAGAAATATTAAAGTAACTGACTTGTTTAAACTTGAGAAAGCTACTGGGCACTTTAGTTCATAATATATACTCAGGGATTAACTAATGGTGTTCAACTTTTGAACAAATGTGTTCAATGTCACCGTAGTTCTCTGCAAAAGTAGACCAAAGATTACTTGAATGTGATTTGGGGCCTTGTGCCACATTTGATGATAATTCAAGGAAAGATTTTGTATATGCAGCTGGATGACTGTGGGAACCCTCTCTGAATTTTGTTGAATGTCACTAATGATGCTACATATGAAGTGTGAAAATTCAGTTTGCTTCATAAAACCATAGATTAAGAATTCTTCATTTTACTATAGTCTGGTTTTCAGAGTAAACTAAAAACTTTCCCTAACATAATCTTAAACATTTCCATGTCTTCTCTGTTTCTTCCAAAGTCTCCTTTGTTTAATGTTCTAATAGAAATATATCATTTTATACTAAGCCAATGGAATTGTCCCTTAGGATGCCAATAGTACATATATATGCTATTCCTGTTTAGGCTAAGGAAAGTTAAGCAAAATATAGGAAAGGAGTTAGAAGTTATAAGCCAAAACAATTTAGCAAGAAAAATGAAAGGAAACTTAGCTAAAACATTGATATATCTGCATCCTTTCACCCCTTTTTATCATTGCATACATTGTCTTTTGTTATGTCAGCTTTTCATCTTGTTCTTTTTGAGGATTGGATGAACTCCTTCAAATCACAACTTTCTTAGACTTTCCCTTTCCTCTCAGCCCATTCACTCTTCCTTCATACCCATTCAGATAAAGGGCAAATTCTCAGTATATTTATGTAATGCACATGCCAAAAGTTGGACATTTTAGTGGATTTGCACATTTGAAATAGTTTGGAAAATGGCTAGAAACATGTTTTGTTGATGACTTATCCTCCTTTGATTCAGACTCCTTTTAAAATTATATACTTATACATTAAAAACAACTGTCCTATAAAAGATATCCTGAGTTACAAAGTAAATATATGATAAAATAATTATTCCTATCCCAATCTGACTCTTAACCCTGCTATACATGTGTTGTTCTGAATCAAACCTTATAACTTAGTTCAGAAGTACAATTTTTAGCAACATAGGCCAGGATCCAAACAGAATGCAGTAGTGCTGGCAATATAATTCAAGCTATTAAAAACTTTAAATGGCAATAGATAAAGAAAGGATAAAGCACACTTTTTCTTCATGAGGCACTAATTAAAGCATAACTCTGTGTTCTGCTCTGTAATTAAATTATTCTTCTCTTTCATCCTCCTCCAGGGCAAACTATACAGCTGCACCGATAGCTCCAAGCAAACACAAGCAGAGTGCAAGTGAGTTCATGATGATTTGCCTGACCACTCTTCCATGTCAACTGCTGTCAAGGAATTTTCTTTTGTGTCTGTTTCCCCAAATCCCCCTTACTTTCCTTCTCCTCATAGGGGCAATTTTATCACTTACAAGGATGGAGAGGTATCTCAACCAATGATTCAGGCCCGAAGCTGGGAGAATAGCAAATTCGATTTTGACAATGTCCTCACAGCTATGATGGCCCTTTTCACTGTTTCAACCTTTGAAGGCTGGCCAGAGTGAGTATATAAGGCACTATTTCTTTACATTTTATGGGCCCCAAATAACTTGCCTTTTTCAGCATTTAAATTGACATGTCAAACTAGACTTGTCAATCAGTACTTCAGTGTGTTATCACATGCTAATTCAATGCCTGTTTCAAAAGTTCTTCAGAAAACACTGTTTCATTTCTGACAATCACTGACACAGCCACAAGACTGAGACAATGTCCAGAAATCTGGAAACTTTCAAATGGCACATTCAGAAGGCTGTTTTCTTGTGCTTTCAGCTGAGCCCTAGAGTATGCAATTAGCAGCTCAGGATGGATCTCAGAAAAAGGCCTGACAATTAGGGTTGTCTGAAAAGTGTTTAGTTTTTATTTCCATTTTTTTTTTTTTGCCCTTTTTTTCCAGACTGCTGTATCGATCCATCGATTCCCATATGGAAGATGTGGGGCCCATCTATAACCACAGGGTGGAGATCTCAATTTTCTTCATTATTTATATCATCATCATTGCTTTCTTCATGATGAACATCTTTGTTGGTTTTGTCATCGTCACATTTCAAGAGCAAGGAGAACAGGAATATAAAAACTGTGAGCTTGACAAGAACCAGGTAATTCCATGATGTGACTGAAGAAATTAATTATATCTAGTGGTAGAAAGATTATTACAGCTTATTTGTTTAACTGATAAAAGAATTTTATTTTTGAGGCAGAGATAACATCAAGCTCTATGATGCAGTTGAAGAAATGTATTATATCTAGTAGTATAATGACTTTTAGAACAATTTGTTGAACTGATAAAAATAATTTCTTTTTTTTGAGGCTAACATGCAAGCCTAAATTTTATTGCCATGTATGTGCAAAAACAGGTGGATGATACTGTTGATGCCAGCAAAATATTTCATATGGAGGTTATAGCTGAATACTAGGTGAATAAGAAAAAAAACTGAGGTATTTTTTCTTGCTCTGAAGGTTCCTTTCAACTCATACCTTGTTGGGAGACAGTAGGATTCATGTGGCTCACAAGAATGTTTGTGCAAATATATTTTCTTCTAGTGAAGTCAGAAAGTGAGTGCCATTAGAATTAGAACCAAAACCACTGAAAAATAAGGGGGATTAGGGTTCTTGAGGAAACCCTGAGATATTTTTTTAAGAAAATTGTAATGGAACCCTAAAAGGAAGCATGCAAGTTAGATTAAATACACTATAATAAGCCCCACTTGGGTATTATTTAAAATAAAGATTATCAGGAAGTACTAGCTTATGTAAGCCAAATTTATATATTTGCTTTTCAAATTAGATCTTTTAGTATTTATACTGTTTAATATATGAATACTAGCAGCTGATATTTGAGAATAGGGTGGAACGTCTTTGAATCTACCTTAGTCTCAGTAAAGCTTCTGTTGGATTGTTAAGGACTGACGTGCTTGAAACAGCTTATTTTTCCAGGGTGAAAAACTGGTTTATTTAGAGGATATTATAAGGATTCATTATTCATAGGTGACCTTTTCCCTTCCTCTTAAAATCCTGCAAAATACAGTTCAAATATAAGGCTAATGTTTATTATTGGAATGTATAAGTTTATAAATGAGGGTGGTATTGCCCTACCACAAATTCTACAGAATTGTGGTAGGCCTATCTATTGTTGAAAAACACTACCCCTCCATGCACTATTATAATATTTCATTACCTTCAGAGAAAAATTCAAGGAAGATATAGAGGTAGGAGTGATAAAATGAGCATCAAGCCAGCACAATGCAAGTTCCTCCCTTGTTATACATGCATTATGACATTGCTTGTCATAATGCTCATTTCATCATTGTAATGAAACTATCGGGTTCTGTGGATACCTCTTGGAAGATAGCATCTCTTTGTTGCTGCAAACACAATGGTATATTCTGAGCTCTTCATGTCATATTCTGATACACATCTATAGGCAAGTAGTACTGAGATCAGTGGGGTTTATTCCAAAGTAAATAGTTACAAGATTGCAATATTAAAGAACTGGAACGCCTAGAATTTCCAGTCATCAAAGGACATACTAGATAGAATTCTCAAAATTACATGAACTTTCATGAGGTACAGTTGCTCTACCAGCTGTTTCTCACAAAATGGTCTGCACTACACAAAATTTTGGTCCCAAAAAATGTGTTAGTCTTTAAGGCACCACAAGACTTACTATTAGAAAATAAGGATTTCTCCTAAAGGAAGAAGGGCTTTTATGATGAATATTTCTGACCAAGCTAAACAATCATATCCTTGTATAATTTATTTTTCTTGTTACAGATGGACGATCTAACCTACTGCTTTCTCTTAACAGCGCCAGTGTGTAGAATATGCCCTGAAGGCCCGGCCCCTGCGGAGGTATATCCCCAAAAACCAGTACCAATATAAAGTATGGTATGTGGTGAACTCCACCTATTTTGAATACCTGATGTTCGTCCTCATCTTGCTGAACACCATCTGCCTGGCCATGCAGGTAGGTGGAAAGTTAGAAAATACTAGGGCTGTGCAGAGCTTCAGAAATAATTTGGAAAAGATACTTCAAAGGCACCTTTAAAGCAGCTGCATCTTCTCCTGCCTCAGGAAATGGCATTGTTTGCTTTAAACAGTTGAGGACAGGTGCAATATCTTTGCCCCATGCATTCTGAAACACTTTTTGGGAATAGAATCCAAAGCAGTGTACAGACCTAGAAAGCCTTACAATATGATAGCTAATACTGAATTCACAACAACATTCATGATCTAGAAACCACATACTGTAGTTCCTTTTAACATACTGTAGTTTCTTTAATTATCAGGAAAGAAGAAGCACGTTATTAAAACTAGGAAGAATTTTCTACTGTGAGAGACCCAAAATTATCTGAAAGTATGAATTTGTCCCATTCTATGAAAGCAGATTAAGTTGTGTCAACTGCATACCTTTTTTAAAGCAAGTGTACTTCCTAAGTGCAAGTCTACATATTTTCTTATACAGAAACAATAGTTTTTTAAAAACTTTTTTAATTTAAATTCTGTAAACATGTATATCCTCAAATGTGTTCAGACTCCCATAGTGATGGTGAAATTACCCCAAATGAATGTTGTATAATGGCTTAAACTGGAAACTAGGGAACCCCTACTCTGAATGTTATTGAAGCTACCAATTCAGTAGGTAGCCTTCAGCAAGTTAATATTCCTTCTGCCGCTGCTTTTCATCTTCTCACTCCCTCTAATATATTTAGTTAATAATACTTTGCCTTAGTATATAGGGCTGTTTCAGAGTTGACTAAGGTAGTGAAGTGTTTTGTACACTTGAAAGGAGCTACGTGAAGCTCCTATATAAAGGAGTAGTACATTCTGACTAATACTTCAACCAGGGGACTGAGTTCCATTAATTGCTATTCAGACAAAAAGAGCAATAGAATATAAACCCAGCCCAAACTGTATATAATTTTTGGCTTATAGCTCACTATTTCATTTTGATCTTGAAGATCTCCTTTTCTTCCTGTTCCTTCAATTTCCCTTCCATTATTTTCTAGTTTATAATACTGAGGGCAGGACCCTTCTTTTTAATTAATCAGATATGTGCCTGTGTACCTTTTATTATCATATGGCAACTGGATATCTCACAGGATAGCACCATACTGTGTTAGATAGAAAGCCATGTTCTCCATACCACAGCGGGTTTTTGAGGTGAAATATGTTTTTAATAGTTAATTCATTAAATTATAAAGAAATCGGAAGGAAATAGGGGAGTAAAGGAGGGGAGAAAGAACTGGTAAAAAGGGAAAACAATCCACTTTTCACAATGCAAAATGGAATGATTAGTTGTGGGGGGTTTATTTTCAGCACTATGGTCAAAGTTGCATCTTCAAAGAAGCAATGAACATCCTCAACATGCTGTTCACTGGCCTTTTCACCGTTGAGATGGTTCTGAAGTTAATTGCCTTCAAACCCAAGGTATGTTGTCGATCAAAGTTTCTCTCTGTGCACGTATGGGGCAAAAAGCAGACTGGAGGAGATGAAAAAGGTAATAAAGTCAGCTTTATCTCCCATCCTCCTCCACAATCTACCTAGGAAATGGCCTTGAGCTGTTGTTGTCTAGACTGGAATCTCAATCTGTGCTTGGAATAGCCTTCCATTTTTAAATTGAGTATGCCGACAGAATCGTGCCTTTTAAAAATACAGCATTTCTGTGACTCTTCAGAATAGAAGCTGCAAAGTATCATGCACCCCAATGGACACCCAGAAAAACTTGAGGATTTTCTCAGCACCAACTTGTAACTGCTTACAGGAGGCCAGAACTAAGATACTTGCTCCTGGGCCTGCAAAATGCTCTCCGACACACCCTTTTCCTCTCCCTTGGAAAGGCAAAGTAAAAGAAGGAACATCCCCAGATTCCGGTGATGTAAGCGGAGCACTTTACCAAAGAGACAGAGGTAGAAAGTTATGTCAGGAAGGCTTATATGACGCAAAAAAGAGGGTTGGAAGGAAAAGGTGAAGGGGTAACAGCTGGGTTGGGATGGTGCAAAGAAAAGTAGCAGCTTCTCCCAGAGAGAGGAGGCAAGAAGAAAAGAGAAAGTGCTCATCAGGAGCATTTGATGAGGTCGGGAAGGGACAGTGAGGAAAAATTTCCCATTCAGTCAGCAATGCCTGGTGTCCAGGCTGCACTTCAGAAGGCTGATGGGTGAAGGAATTAAGCCTATCTTGCTTGCCCAAAAATAGCGCCCGGTGGGGGTGGGATGCATGAACAACATGCAAGACGATTCCCCACTTACCCATCAACAACAGGGCATTGAGGAGTTTGGCCTCGTGGTGAAGGCCCCAGGCCTGGGAGTTCTGGGCCTGCCTCAGGCATGAAACCAGCTCGGTGACTTTGGGCCAGTCTCTCTCTCTCAGCCCAGCTCACCTCACAGGGTTGTCGCTGTGGGGAAAATAGGAGGAAGGCGTATTAGGTACGTTCGCCACCTTGAGTTATTTATAAAAATAATAAAGGTGGGATAAAAAAAAATCTAAAAAAAACCTGAGGGAATGATTCCCTTGCTCAGTGGCTGTGACACCGAGCCTCCAGGCCGACTCTGGTTTTGTACAATACTGGGGAATTGGCAGTGATGGGTATTGGACTGGCGGAGTTAGGAGCATTTTCCAAAGGCCCAGCAGAGATGAAATGCCCCCAGGACACCCTTCCATTTCTAAACTTGCACAGAAAGTGCTTGGCTTAGGGGCTGCAACTGAGTGAGGAAAATATCCTTGTTTTGTCTACCCCCTGTATCCTCCTCCTCCTAAACACTGAGGAGACAAAGTGGTATAGCTGAGTAAGTGATAAATGTTTCTTCTAACACCCCCATCCCAAACTCCCAAAGTATGTATTCATCTGGAACCAATACCTGGCCTTAAAAAAAAAAAAAATTATTCCTGAAATAAATAAAACATTGTGGTAACCATTTTGTGAATTGCAGCTACAATAATTCCCCATAGTCCACATGTATCCATAAGCCCAAAAGATTGAAAAGCAGCCCCTAATATACAGGGTGTACCAAAAATCAGGCCCCATAGGCAATTTATTATATATATTACATTAAATGTTTGAATTGGTTGCCATTTTCTTCTAAACACTTCCTTAGTCATTTGACCCATGACCTTTGAACACTCCTAAATATAATAACATTTTCTCTGGAAAAAATGTAATTAATAAAGCATATTGTGTTCGGCTTATGGGGTCTGACCTTGGTACATTCTATATATCCTTCACTATTCCTAAGTCATAATGAAAGAGTCTTTGAAGCAGAAGGCTAGTATAAGGTGAGTACAAACTCACACAGTTTAAATGGTCGTCTAAGAATGCTAGTGCAGGTAGTCCTCATTTAGTGACCACAATTGGGACTGGCAACTGGGTTGTTAAGTGAAGCAACTGTGCTTACGAACTTACTTCAGCTTTCCTTTGCTTTGCAGACCTGCAAAGGTCATAAATATGAGGGTTGGTCACAAAATTACTTTTTCATCACTTTCGTAACTGCAAGCAGTTGCTAAGCGAGGCAGTTGCTAAACAAGGACTACCTGTAATATGAAACATTGCAAAGTCTAAAAAGTGGATGTTCTACAGGTTATTTATATAGTTCTTAACATGGGAGTGCTTTTTATCACATAAATGTTAGAAGAAGGTGCTATGTCATGGTGATTTCTCCACTTCCAAAACATTTCTGTGAATCATTTCCTAGCCTATTTTGCATTTGCAGTATAAAATAAAATTATCCTTTGAACTTGTAAGTAGAAACTAGTTTGAGTCCCATTTAGTTTCTATTAATAGTTATTTTACTTTGTTATGCCAGGAATGGTTTTTTAGACAGCATGGTCTTTTGAAAAATAATTCCTTGCATAAATGGTATTTTTAAATTATGGAGCCTAAGAAAATTACCATATAATATATGTATGGTATGTGTCTGAGCTGTCTGTACCTAACCCCCAAAAAGATCTCGAGGTCTTCAAGACAGATCAATAAAGCTGTAAACTCAGTTTGCAGCAGTTTTGGAAAAGGCAAATTCAGTTTAAATTGGAAAGCTATTGAGAATAAAACTGCCACCGTAATGTCCTTATACCAGGGTATAGTATGTCCATATCTAGAATACTATATACAGTTCTGATCACCATTTTTTAAAAAATACCATAAAGCTGGGAAAAGTGCAGAAGAGGACAAGCAGAATTATCAGGAGGCTTGAAAACCTAACCTACAAGCAAGATCCAGAACATTTGGAACTCTCTAGCTTGGAAAAATGGTAACTGAGGAAAGACATGATTAAAACATAAAATTGTGGATGGCATGGAGAAAGAGGACAGGGAGGAAATTGTCTTCCTTTTTCAAAACACTAGGACAAACATCAGTTTATGAAACTAGCTGGAAAGAGATTTAGAATAAAGGAAAGCATTTCTTCACACAGCACATAAGTAACCTATGGAATTATTATGAGAACACATTGTGAAGGCTACTAGCTTGGATGGCTTTAAAAGTGGATTGGATAAATTCATGGAGAACGAGTTTTGCAAGGACAATTTCCTCAGAGTTGGAGCCAGCATGCCTCCAAATATGAGTTGCAGAAAACAAAGGTAGGAATGGGATATTGTCCCCATCTCCTGCTTAGAAGCACAAAGAGGCATCTGGTTGGCCGTAGTGAAACAAAATGCTGGACTAAGATGGATCTTGGCCTGATCCAGGAAATCTATTCTTATATTCTTAGGTCTGTTCTTATGTTGAGTATTTTTTATAAAGGAAAGCTGCTCTTTAGTAATGTTGGTTCAGTGGTAGTAACAGTAAAGTGATGCACATTAAAGCAACAAATACTCTAAGTGAATCTGAATTGTGATTGAGCATGAAAAGGAACTTGGTTTTATGGTGGATGGCTCATTATAAACATCAGTCCAGAGGCAGCTGTGAAAAAGGCAAATTCTGTTTTGTGATTAGATTAGTCAAATTCATAGAGGATAACTCAGTCATCTCTGTTTATTTTGAATATGGGTATGAATATGTGATTCTCTAAGAAAATGTAATATTTTTAAATCATTTTATTGATTGTGCAGTTAGCATATGCAGTCATTATCAATCAGAAACTGAATGGTTTTGAATGCCAGTTGATGGAAAGTAACAGTGGGAGGGTTGTGAGTTGCTGAACAGGTGGTGTTGCCTACAGTAAGGTCATCTAGGTTAACTATGTGAAATTCATTGCTGGAAGCTGGTAAAATGGGGCATGCAGAAGAGTGTGAGAGCTGCAGAGCCCATCTGTGGCAGGTCCAGAGTTGTGCTATGATTTGTATATAAAGGGCATTCCATCTAGCCTGTTGTCTTGATGAGATCACTTCTTGCTCCAATTAAAATTAACTGCCACTTGGAACTTCTGTTAAGCCTGAAATACCTTTTAGGAAGGTCCACCCTAGATGCCTGATCCAGGCGGTTCCAAAGGGTAATTGGGCAGTTTCAGTGATCTGGCAGAAAGTTCCATTGATTGTGTGGTCACTCTGGCAACAGGAGGTGATTCTGGCTGCCAACAAATTTCCCCCAAACAGCCTCTTTCTGTTTGCTGATCCTGGGAAGCTCCTTGATTTACTGAGGAGCTTTGAGAGGTAAAGTGTCAGAAATTACACCTAAAGTATCAGTGGAGAAAGACCAGAAGTGAAGTAGATTGAACATGGGTATGAGCTCAAATTTGAGGCCACATTTTAGTAATAAAGTGTGATGTGTCAGTACTTCTCCTTCTTTATTGCTTTGGCAGACCTTTGGCTGGCAGCCTTGTTTAGGCTGTCAGATTTACTTTATAGGAGGGATTGGCATGAAGATCTGCTTGGCTGCTGTCACTATTCTGTGCAACATTTTGCCAGTAAGGTCACTCAGAATCACTGAGACCTTGATTCCTCATGGACAGAGTCTGGTGTGGTGACTGGTGCAATGTCTGACTATGTTATCTGGGCCTTCTTTTGGCCTGTGGACTCTGATGAAGTAGATAGGGTATTCTCCAGTTCTCTGGTATGACGCATCACTTGTGAACTTGATCCATGTTCCTCTGGCTCCTGTGATAGCAAATGTTAATCTTCTCAAGTTGAGGAGGTGATATTGGTTTAACCTTTCTTTAAAAGGCCTTTTGTGGATCCAGTAGTGTTTGACAATTAGTCACCTAGTCTCTAGTGCCATTGAAATCTTGTCCTATGCTTGGAGTTTGTTGAGGTGATGATGAGATGAAACAGGTGATATGAGGTGATGATGAGATGAAACAGGCTACATTTGAACCCAGCAAGATATAGTGTCTCTGAGGGAGCAGGCCTGTGACTTGAGGGTCCTCCTGGACTCATGCCTTTTACTAAATGGGCAGGTGGAGGCTATGGCTAGGGGGCCTTTGCCCTACTTTGGTTGCTGTGCCAGTTGTGACCTTCCTGGAGCAGAAAGTCCTGGCTATCAGATTCATGCCCTTATCACTAGTCAGTTGGACTTCTGCAGTGTGTTCAATATGTGGTTGCCTTAAAGATGTCCTGGAAACTGTGGTTGGTTCCAAATGCAATCGCCCACTTGCTGACTGTTGCTCATTGCCATGTTACCAAATTACACTTGC